TCTGAAGGATGGAGTGAAGCAGGCAAAAAGTTTCAACTCTATATATCTATATTCTATAAATTCTATAGCGGAGTTAAAATGAAGGGAAATACAACGAAACTGGGATTGCATACAAGGTATGAGCAACAAACATGGATTGACGACATTGATTATATTTCTATCGGCCAATTCGCTATAGATACGGCTATTAAGAGCGGCAATTTGCTGCGCAGAAACACAGCATCTTTAACCTCCAGATTTGATATAATATCATGCTTTCCGTGCGATGCACGATGAATGAGCTCAGGTGAATGCACAAACGCTCATTCCAACTAAATCTTCTTTTTCTTCACTTTTCCTTTTTTTTCGCAGATCTTTCCAAAAATCTAGTAATTTGATTTTTCATTTTCAAAGGTTATGATGCTACCAACCAAAGCGTTTATTCTTTTGCATGCATGTGTACCAAATTTACCATCAGCCTATATAGGGAGTGTATATTCGCAATTAACAGTTTCACATCCCCATTTAAATCAACATTCAAATATGAAATGACTCACGCCGGGTAAAAGCAAAAAAAGACAAGTGGAGTTCCTGAATATAGACATTGCCAGAGTTCACGCGTTTTTTATAAAGTAGCTAGATCATGTTAAATCATTTCCGAATTAATAAAATCGTTGCTATTTCGACGTTTAACAAGATGTCGTCATGTATGGACGCCTTGACACGTCACAGTTTGCATGGTATGTTTTATGCTGGTATAACTATATTGAATATACAAATTTCCAGTCATACAGCTAAGTAAAATCATTTAACTCTTGAGGATGCGAAATATATATTATATATATATATATGAGCGGACGTGACTATACAGCGCACCATGCGCGCATTTGCCGAACAAATATTGGTCATGAATTTTGCAAGTCATGAAGTTTCGCATGACGTCGCGCGTAATTAAAATCTTTGGGCAGAATTGAAGCCCTCAACCTGCGTTTGCGCTCGGGATATAGCGCTAGGAGAGTTGTTGTATAGAGCCCAACGAAATAGCGATTCAGTTAAAAATAATAAGTTTTAAATGCATTTGATGCTCGCGCTTGAAGTCATATTGATGTGATATAATTATGAACCACTAAAATATCCCGTATAATTACTCAAAAAGGCAATACATTGAGACCCCGACTCTCTCGCTTTCGATACCTATACCATGCAGGTTTGCAAAATCCTAAACCTAATTCCTAGTTCTAGTGCATAGATATTAGCATCTTGACCTTCAAACTTTTACCGTTTGAAGAACATTTGCTTAAGTTCGGGTTCAGGCCCTTTAACTCAAATTGTATACGCGCAATATGCCGGAAAGACCGAAGCGTGTGCGTCTAGTGCCAGACTGTTTTGCCTTTGAATCCACTCTGATATCTAGTCGGCAAAGCCAGCCAAAAAAAGGAAGGACAATGCGTAGTATGACATTGAGGTAGAAGAAGTCGACTAGACAGAAATCTAGTGCGGATTCACTACAAAGGCTACTTAGGCTAGCTATAGCAGCGGCCGCTTAGCCTCACGGCTCACGCGACAACGAAAATAAATAATTACATGTATTAATACAACGATAAACCAAAATAACAAAGATTTAACGGAAGTTTTGACATAAATTGTAAAAAATATTCATATCATTTTAAATATTTATAATTTTATACACTTACTTGCTAATATGATATGCTAATCACAGCTAATGCCGGGAACGTCTCATGCATGGGCATAATTTATAGTTTCCAGCCTGAGCTATTTCGAGCATTTTGGCAATGCTGGATATCAATAGCAAACTAAATGCCAACTTTAGTAAATTGACTCGCATTTTGACAGGCCTAAAATGCCTCGAATAAAATGTAGCTTTCCTTTCGAACTATTTGAATTTGGTTCCAAATCGTGCACAGAGCATGCGTATTTGGAAATATGCCTCAATCCCCGAAACTAATGCCGCGCGCATTGTATAAAGTCCTAATAAAATATCGCTCTACTGTCTCATTTGAACTCGAAAATGACGGGCGTTAATTATGTCTGTTCACCAGGAGCAATCATTCAAAATAAAGCTTATATTACTAATTTTCATATGTCTTGGCAAGTTATTTCCAACATGTTCACACAAAGAGCAAGAAGCAAAAAACGGCAAAATTTACCGACATTTCGCAGCAAATTTGGTAAAATATGAGCCTCAAAATGGGTATTAGGTATTTGTATTAATCAAATTTGACATTGAAACAACTGTATTAGCCACCTTAAAATTGGGCTTAACTGGAAATCATGGTTCAACAGACAAAGCCAGTTTTATCAAACTTAATTGTGTGTAATCACAAGAGAATTTCCATGGAAGTGTATAGTTGCTATATTCAGTGTATTCTTGGTGCATGTTACCGATGATTTTTTAAAATATTTTCCGTTTTTGCAATTCTGATATAATCGAACATGATAGAAAATCTCTTTGTCTTTTTATATAATATTTTATCACACCACCAATTATTATATCGATAATTAGCTTATAGCTTATAACAACTAATTTGTTTATAATAGTTTTTCCAGCAACACAATTTGTAGTTTTACAAAAATTCTGATCGAACTATTTCTGAGGTATTTCGCCTGGTTGGATGAGAGCAAAAATATACGCTTTTCTTTATGTCTTTATCAGAGGTGTAGGCGGGGCCGGAACCCTGCTCCACCCCCTGGTGAAATTTTTCCCTCTCTCCTGAAAATGAATGGATTTATATCATTGTTATTCTGTCACAAAAAACTTGTAGGTGATTTTGCTGATCAAAATTAGCCATCATTAACTCAACAGAATTCCGCACATAAAGTTTTGCACAAAATTTAAATTTGTCGTCACACCGGCGATCTGGACCACCTAGATTTTCCAGCCCTGACCTCTTTCCTGGCGCTTCTGGTCATCATGTCTTAAAATTAGAAATTAAACGATCTGCCTGTTAAATGCGACGATCTACCGCAAAGGTTGAATCTGTTCAAAAATTCAGTCATCACTGTGAAAACTACTCAACGAAACCAACTTATTGTTATGTTACTCAGCTTCAAACAATTGTATTTCTTAAACAACGATGGAATATAGAGGCTCTATTGCACTGAAAGATGTCGCCTTTATTGGATTAACTTTGAAGACATTTTGTCCAGTATTATACCAACTGAACCCCGAACCATGATAATCAGTGTTACTGCATGGTATGTCTTAAAAAAGTGTTTGTGACTTGGCTAATGACATGCAATCGTGTATGTAATTTTGGAAAAATGAACAATGTTGTATATAGTTCGTAAATGTTTTATTAGAACATAGTCTAAAACATATACTCAAATATGTCAAATATATCATGTATATACATATCATTCTAAATGATTTAATAATAAATTAAAAAAGGCTAATAATTTGAGAATCGGTGCAATCGGAATCAGTTTGTTTTCGGTGCAAAACATTGACATTCAATATCTTAAATATCGCATTCAATAATTAGATGTAAAATCACATAGGCCTGAAATTTCTTGAAGCGAATGGTTTATATATAGCAAAAATAAAAAATACCGGATTCCATGCAGTTGTTGATGGTGCTACGAAGAGTAAAAATAACCAAAGAGCGATCTGATCTGCATAAACTGCGTATCAAACTGTACCAGCTACATGGAGCCACAGAAACTTTGAGTGAAGGTCCGGTGAATCCAAAAGGCCTAACATCATATTACAGTGAAAAAAAAGTTACTATCAGCTTACCCCACTGCAAAGCCAAGTTAAGGTGGCTCCCTACAGTTGCTCGAATTTCTTAGATGCCCATTTCATATAGGGATATTCAGCATATAAACATTTGACTGGAAGACTAAAATTTTATATACCTTTCTGGGGCCGGTTGTTCAAAGCTGGGTTAGCGCTAACCCTTGGCTAACCCTGGGTTAGGTAAATCTTACTCCGCTGTTTTGGTTTATATGCCTCTGCACCACTGTTTGTTTCAAGACTTTACAAAATAAGACTTCTATTAATCGACAAAATATTTACGAAAAAATATGTTCAACTTCATAAACAAGCGATTAAAAAATTGATTTAAAATTTTAAGTTAACCCTGAGTTAAGCTAGCCGGCTTTTGAACAACCGGCCCCTGGCAACATACCTAGAGCTGAAATCTATTCAGAACTTGTGCCTGGCAGTCGTTGCTATAGCAACACAGAGACGTTTCAAAATGGCAGCTGAAAAGCATTTAATCCAGTTTAAATCGCAAATGAGTTCGGTGACCCCCATTTTTTCCATCAAAATTTTAAACTATAGATGGTTTATCAATAGTGAACTTTTAGAAGTTTGTTAAAACTTTACTATCGATAAAGCATCTATAGTGTAAAATTTTCATGAAAAAGTGGAGTCACCGAACTCATTTGCGATATAAATTTTATAAACTCGATTAAATGCTTTTTAGCAGCCATTTTGAAACGTCTCTGTTGTTATAGCAACGACTGCCAAGCGCAAGTTGTGAATGGATTTCGGCTTTTGGTATGTTGCCAGGAATGTACATTTAAAATTTTCGACAAATTGTAGGGAGCCACTTTGCAAACAGTATCAACTGTTGCATAGCCGTGACCTATTGCTTCAGTAGAACTTGAGATCAGTGATCCCCAAAGAATGTAAGACAGTGAACTCAAATAAAACTGGAACGCTCACTCTATGACTTTCCCTCATTGATGAGTGAAGCCAAGATGGCGGATCATGACGCCTTTCTTGTAGGTATGATCCAGGCCTCTGGCGCGGAAACTTCAAAGGAAAAATCAGAATTCCCGACAAAATTTCCGCGTGGAGGCCTGGATCATACCTACAAGAAAGGCTTCATGATCCGCCATCTTGGCTTCAAACTTCCGGCAGAGTGAGCGTTCCAGTTTTATTTCAGTTCACTGATGTAAGATAATTGATCTGATTGGTATGCGGTTTTTAATACAAAATTTATTACGGTCAAGCGCATTTCTGTTTACATTTGCGATTTAGGCCGTTCAGAGCAAAACCTCATTTGGTTCAACATAATTTTTCCAGATTAACTGATTAGCTTTCTCAATAAATATGAAAAAAATATAAAAGACGAAAAACAGTACAAGTGTACGGGTTTGTTTACTTTCATGGCTGAAACCTGCTTCAATGTGTCGTATGCAGCTGCATATGCCTAAGAGTCGTGATCTTGGCTTGAATTTACAACATAGACAAACTATTAAATGATATTAGGACATCACCGGCGTCCTTTCTGATGTTGTATAATTGAAGAACAGTGGTTGTGGAACACAATGAGCAAATCCTCAAACAAGAGGTTCGTATTAATATACGTTTTCCTTTGAAGTATTTGTGCAGGTTGCAGAAAATAATGCACTTGCTTTTGGTTATTATTTCAGGATTATATTGCTATACTTTGGTTTAAATAATGCATCTAATAAATTATTAATATACATGAATATATCAAACAAGCTCCTTTAAGCCATAGACATACTTCAACCAACCAGCCTTGGGAGAACACAATTTGTGTAGTAATAAAAATATAAATAAATTTATACAGCAAACTATTAGCATTGAATTATTATAAAATCATCACTTGTTGGCTGCAGTTTACCAAGGCCAACCTATGCATCTTTGCAACAGCAGATCAAACCTCCAAAGAACTCACAATTAAGTCAATAATTGTTTGCATGAATATGCCCGGTTGTCAGTGCAATCTTTGTGTTAGATTATTTTCATTATTTGAATTACCAGAGTAGTGATCGATAAGAGCAATGGGCCATAAAAGACGAAAAACGGTACATAAGAGCAATTGTGCGATAAGAGCAATTGTGTACATTTTTGTAGTAGTGATAAGAGCAATTGTGTACATATTTTGATATATGTTGCTTCCTAAAAACATAACCATTGGATGCACACATGCTTTTTAATGCATAATTATATAACATAAAAAGATATGTTATATGTTTAACCCACTAATTTGAAGATGGTTTAAATGTTCAAATGTTTCTCGACACAACAAAATCTAATTCATATTCATTTATCGAAGCATAATTGTGTCAGATTATTTAAAGCCCATTTTCCACTAGGTAAATTTATTGGCAAAACACAAATTGAAATCTGAAATCCATGCAGTGATGTGATTGGCTTCACTTGTGAAAAAATTTCCCGCAAAAAGTAGAATTGCCTCCTACTTTTTTTTCTGTTTTTGCGAATAAGTTTGCCTATATAGTGACGAACGGGCTTAGTGCACAAACAGTTTTTCATGTTTCAAGAAATATATTCTGTTCAGCACAGTTCAAAATGTTAAAGATTAAAGCATTCTCTAAGATATTCTTGCGTAATGATTGAGGCAACTAGTTGTTCGATCGTTTAATGTTATTCAAAATATGCTATAGTATGCACATATATGGACCAATGAATAACATATATAATGTAATAAAATAAAACTGTAATAATTAAAATAAAATATAGTATTATTCAGTTCTTGAGAGTCCTATTTGGTTTATAAATCATAACTCACTATTTAGAACTTGCTTGTAAATGAAAAATTTATACTGGTCAGATGTTTTCAAGTAGAAATTTTTAGCATAAAGCTATATAGAGATCGATATCTTAATACCTAAGATTGAAACAGAGGTCATAGTGTGGCTTTCCTAATTTGTTCATTAAATTAAATAAATTATTACAGCAATGTACTGGGATGCCTAATATGTGGATTATTATATGAATTAAGATTGAGCGATGAGGTACTATACATGATAAATATCATATCAATATCAATGTCATTATATTTCATTTAAATCTGATAGCAGTTCTAGGATTGCCCAGTTGTCAGAGCAACTGGAAAGGCTGCTAGCTGTGGAGAAAACATCAAGAGACTTGGAACAACTGCGTTATGTCACACTCAAGATGTACCAGCTACTGCAAACACAAGGTTTGACTATGTTTTTGCTAATTAATATTCTAAATATTTTTTTCAAAATACAAATCCAGCTACAGTGTATGTATACATTGTACCAGTAGCTAGCTAACCACGTTGGTCATATTCGGCAAATTTTCTCCCAGTAAAGAGGGCTCAGTTTTTCAGCGGTCTTCGCATAAAAAATTAAAAGCTTTTCGTTTTACGCCTTGCTCTCAATTTTATGTAAGTTGTCCGCTGACAATATGAGCCTGCACGAGTGGGAGAAACTTAGCTAAGTTGGACCAGCGTGAACACCAAGAAGCTGAAATTAAACAAGATTCAAATCAATCTGGAACTAATCAATTTCTGTATATTCATATATAATATGCAGTCTCTGTATATATATTATATATAAAATTGCTATATATATATAATATTATATATATATTATATATATATATATATAATTATATAATAATTATATATAATATATTATATATATAATATATATTATATATATATATATATATTGCTATATTTTTAATATTTTAGATAAAGCCAAAAAGGAAATGATAAATAAAATATGTGAGAAAGCAGCAGTGTTACTGGGCCTTTTAGAGGTAAGGAGGATCCATTGTTAAGCACTAACCTTTCTGCTAAATTGTAGTAAATTTAATAGAAGTAGAATGTATTGGCACAAAAGTGGGTGATTCAGTTATTTTTAAGAGTGGTGATACAGTAAAACAGATAGGGTTAATTATAATTAATTAAATTGGGTTTTTTGGTGAATTGGTTAACAAATGAAACTTATGGTAATAGATTCTAACATTTTCATTACGGTATGTAAATTTGGATGACAGCATTTTGGCAATGGCAATGCCTCCTCCCCCACAATTGACCAGAAAAGAGATAGTACTGAGATATAGATATATACAGTTAGCAGTTAGCAACAACAAATATAGGAAGTTTGAAATTTTTTTGTACCTTTCACTAATTTCAGTACCTTTCAGCATTTTGTTCATTTGAAGATAGACTTTTTTCCCCAGGGAGAGATTTTGTTTAATTTCAAATCGCACTGATACCCTGACGCCATCTTGAAATTTAAATAAACTACACTTTCTGACTACTGTCAAGCAATGTAGTTATAATTCTTTATTTTCATTCGGCTATGCAAAAATGCCAAACAAGTCGTTTGTGAACCCGATGAGTAGTATTTTTTAAAAACCGAAAAAAAACCCTGAAAATTTCCGAAAATCGGACAATGTCAACGTGTTGATGATCACGCTTTCATTTTACGCTGCCTAATCTGCGGCGGATCAAGTTACTCGCATTTGATTGGTTAACAAAAAATCGGACGTCTGAGAAGACAAGTGACGGTATGAGTCATCACTAAATTGATCAATCTTGTTATCTTTTGAAATATATTTTATATTTCGCGGTTTCAAACTTATGTCAGAACTGTATAAACTTGGTCTCATGTACTATTACTAGACTCACTACAGTAATACTTTGCAAGAAGAACAGTGTTAGTATTCACTAATACTTTACAAGAAAATGACCATGCAATATTCATACACAAGTGTCAAATTGGGCTTCTAACTGTGCTTCAAATAAACAGCAGTCGGCCTACACTGCCTTTTCCCCAAATCTTTTTTAGAAACATATTTCGTACATTTTTAAATATTTTATCACTGTTTGGTGTAAAAGGTAAATATTTTGTGGCTGAAATATTAATTTGTAATTTACTTACTTCCTGCAAATGGACGCCTTTCGCCGAATTCCCAAGTTCACTCTTCTGTTTATCAGCGAAAATCATTTGAATCCTTCCGAATATGAAAGTCGGTCAAGACATTATAATATTGTTTACATTTTTAACTAATTTCCAGAAGTTTCATGTAGATTTCAACTGTTTAATATTCGACAACGTAAAACCCCAACGGTGCTGTAATAACGAGTAATAATAACATGCATCTGTTGGATTTCTAGAACTGCAATGACACTCAACTAATGTTGAATATTCTGGGTTGCTGTTTAGAAATATCAGCTGGGGGTAAGATGGCTTCTTTAGTACTTTTAGACGCGTCTCTTTAATAACCGTTGTCTGTCTGTTGGTTGGTCGGTCAGACTTTTGGTCCCCATTTTACTTTTAAAGTATGCAGGACATGAAAATCCTTGCATGACATGATTACACTCTGGCGCACGCGCAGTTCGAAGCTGTATCGGCTTATTATACGTACTAATCACGTGCATGACATATCGGCAAAGTTTCACTACCGACAGAAAGTTGTAAGCACTCGTTATTGGTATTGTGTACTTGTTCACATCCTGTAAACATGTCTTTAGAAAAATTCATTCGAAATCATTTGACAGCTTCAGTGGACTATTCGAATAGAATCGTTCATCAATGTTTAAAAGTTATATAGGCCAATTCTCCAAGAAAATTTTCCGTTTTAAAAAGTCTTTTGAGGGCTTCAAGTGGATTTCTAAGGTATTTTCTCTGCTTACATGTCTCACCTGTTTCAGGAAAGAAATGTGTAGCAACTTTAGCAGGACATGGGGCAGTCGACATTCTTCTCAAGATTCTTAAGATGGAAATATCTGAACCATCAATTGTGGAAGAAACTTTAGTCTTGGTTCATTCAATTCTTGCTAGGATTGCACCGAAAGGTAGGTAAAGCTACATTTCGATGATTTCACAGTTTTTCTGTAATCAGAATATTTCAAACTTCGTTTTGAAAATCGGTGTTCGTATAAATTCGTACGTGGCAAATTTAAAATATCGCCGATGTTCACAAGCTGTTTTCAAGTTCGTGCTTCTGGTGGCCGGGTCAGTAATTAAAATGTTTTATCTCTTGAATTTCTTCAATACAAATATTCATATTTCAGTCGATGGAAGCTATAGTACGTGCTGCATGAATTCCTTTTTCCACCTGCGCAATAACAGTATGCTGTAGTATTTGTATACTGTACGTGTACACGCTCAGCTTGCTTTCAATATGTGAATGTCAAATAACGGAACTTTTCTTTCAAATTCACCCTGTAGTATTCGACGAGATTTTTACTTCCTCGTGTTGCTTGGATGATATTAAATTTGATTTTTTTTTCGTTGCATGCTTGTTTTAGATCGAAAGTTTGCGCTGAAATCTCGGTTAACTGGCGCGTTGCAAATCACAATGGATGTAATCAGACAAAATGCCAATAATTTTAAAGTTCTCCATCCTGCTCTGTTGGTGATCAAAATTTCCGCCGGAAGCAGTAAGTCAACTAATCACATCTGTATAGCGTTACAAACTCCATTGCTTTGACCCAGTTCATGCATGTTAATTTAACATTCACCTTAGAATTAGGGTGAATGTTAGGGTTTTGTTTTTCCTGTAAGCAAGATGTTTTCATCTTTCTCGAACCCGGCAAGTGCGAGTATAAGCATGCATCCTTCTCCTTAAGACTATAAAGCGTTTTATTTTCGACGCAATGAACGAGCTGTGTACCTTTGTTTTTGTAGTTAAATGTAGCGAGATTTTGTTTAACAACTCAGAACGAGATTTTTCATGTCATTCAAAAACCATACTTGTATAACAACACTACAAAACGTGTTAAACTGCTACTATAATATACAATACAAAGTGTTTTTAAAAGATCACCATTGCAAATTCAAGTTAGTTAATTAACCAAACTCCAGCCTGCTACCCCAGGCGTTTTGATGCTTTAATGCTTCGAAAATGGCGTGCGTGGGCGACGAGGCTGGCCAAATTCTCACAATCTCTGTGGTTGCACAATTCATATTGATCATTTACATACAATCTATCCAGGTGTGAATTGCAACGTCCTAAACAAGGCAGGATTTATCAATATATTATTTCGCATACTCTCTAACTGTGGACATAAACGTGTCACAACTTTGAAGTAAGTATTTCTCACAAACTAACAAACCATTGTTAATTGCACGGGATAGCTAGATGTTACATGTGTTCTTGTACATTTAAAATGTTCTGGATCAAATTTGTGTTCTTTTACACTAAATTTGTACATTTTTAGGCTCGTTCTTGATCTAATTGCTATTCTTGTAAAGTCAAGTAAGTGACATGCAGCATTGTATATTGTAATGCTGTACGGTTCTTGTTATATGATCATCAAATGCAGCTCCATTCATTTCTGAAATGCCTTTTAATCTCCCTTTATAGAAGGTGTTGCAGCCAAAGCGGTAAACTTAAGCGGAGTTGAAATTCTCCTCCGCATGTTTTATGATTGGCATAGAACAGATCATCATAACAGACAAACTGCAATCAGGAAAGCTCTGCTGAACTCAATGAAAGCACTTGTATCTACAAGTAAGTTATTTCACGTGTCAACTATAAGCATAGGCCTATATTGGATTATATTGGACCTATATTGGCCCATAAATTTTGAATTTCAAGATGCCAATCTTTGGAATATACTTTGTGTTTGATGTATAACTTTCTTTTTTTCAGGGGCAGGTAAAGCAGCGTTTCTGCAATCAAATGGGATGAAGACACTTTTTGTGTTGACCAATGATACCAGTGAACGTAAGTAATATGATGATGAGTTAATCGATAAGTTATTGGATATTGAAACTTAATTATCAATCGACATTCGTTATATACATTTCTTTTCATGTATTATCATGTCAAAACATAAAGAAATGCTTTATATAAGAACGTAGAATTTACACAAAGAACTATGCGTGTTGTTAAATAGTTACAATTTCGATAATTACGTCACAGCATTATCATTTTAAATTTAGAGCCACCTTCAATGAGATGGATTTCAAGTTTTACTCTCACGAGCCACATGCAAAGATGGAAAACATGTTTCGTCAACATATGCATGAAAAATAATTTTTAACTTTGAGCAATAAGTGTGAAAAAGCCGTAACCCTAAAACGAGGCTACCGGGCCATGACCGGGAGCTTCGTTCTCCAGTAATGGCTCATTTCCACACTTTTTGTCAAAATGAAAAATTCCTTTTCATGCATGCGTTGAAGAAGGATGTTTTGCATCTTTGCACGGGGCTCGTTTTAAATTAAGGTTCTAATTTATAACGATAAAGTTGTGACGTAATTATCGAAAGGGTCTTTTGAAATACTAGTTTGGAATTTTGATATCTTAGGCTTGTCTCAGACGTCGAACTTTCCATGTACCGAACTTATAAACTAATATAGTTTTAATTGAGGACATATGATAAGTTCGACGTTTGAAACGCATTTGAAACGCACCTAAGCATTAAGCTCGATCGCCCAGGTCGTGCGGAACGACCAAAGCACGACAAAGCGCGACGTGTTTTCAAACGTCGAACCGATCATGTGCCGAACCAAATGTGCCTTCTGAGAAAAATCCGTTTTACCATTTTATAATTTGGCGGTAAAAAATTTCGCGGTAAATTCTGCTGACCAGTGGCATTGAGCGCTCTGTAAAAAAATGCGTTAAAAAAGTACGGCAAAGCACCACGCTCTTGAAACCAACGTCGAACTTTATCGAGCTTGGTCGAACTTGGTCGATATTAAGTTCGGCACATGGAAAGTTTGACGTTTGAAACGTGCCTTAGTGATAATAATTATGGTATCTGTTACACAGTTTCTCTTAGAATCTAAAGAATCTGGAATCCCACTAAGGAATCCTACATCTTCTGAATAACTGAACCTACATCACAATATTTCAGCTCAGTTTTTCAATAAGTAATTCTGCATGTTTCCATTTTGAAGTTATCCACCGATTAAGCTAAAGTGCTAAACACCCCTCGAATAACTGGCTCCTGACGACGTACAGTACGATATAGATCTCCTCGGTAGACATAATTGGAGACATATAATCTTTCTCTGTGTTCCTAGACAAAGAAATGGACGGTATAAACAGCGTAATAGTACAGATCCTGAGGTTATGCATGCCAGAGAACACTCTTCCGTTAACCAGTAACCGAACTATGATTACGTTTGAACTGCCGAAGATTATTGGGGAGAGTGCCTCAGGCGATGACAATGGGTCTGAAGAAGTAGAAAAGGACAGTGAAGGTATCTACTGTATGTTCATAGCGTCGAATCACACTGGTTTTGAAATAAAACCCAGACCTGCATGTATCCCTTGGTTGAGAAGTTTCTTAGGCTATAAGCACAGCACCGGAGGAATTTGAGTTCACACAGAAAAATGAGTGAAAATTTGGCTGATTCACTGTGTTCAAACGAGATAACTGGACAAATTTGAGCACGATACCAAATTCATCTAGTCCCGTGTGAAGACACCCTTTGTTCAAAGTTTTTTTTTCATACGTAGGTAATAATTATGCCCACTTTTCTCATTATGTGCAATTCTGTACATTCATTCTCAGAGGAATCATCTCCACTGGAGTCCGAAGATGAAGATGTTGGAGTGACGGAAAGTCAAGAAGATTCAGAGTATATTTCACAAAGTAGAGCGGGCCCTGCTGCTGCTGGTGAAAATACAACGAATAAAACGCGAAGTAAAGCTGAGCTGGTTTCCATGTATCATCAGTTCTTTCAAGAGATGACTTGCACCAGGGTGAGAGTCAACTTATAATTACCGTGAGATGCGCAATCTAACGAAAAATCTCCCTTGGCTATTAAACTGAATTTAAAACATGGAAAGTTCATGAGTACAGATTTCCAAACTTGGAAAGTAAATAGTTTTTCGCGAAATATTCTAAAGTGTGAAACATATAGCCGTGGAAAGTTGGCTAGTCATTATAGCTCTTGTCGAGTGCCCGGGAAACAATGATATGGGCTATACTACGCTACGATACCGTAGAAAAAGCGTTCAATCCACAACATGCATACATGATTGCCCTTGATACATAGATAATGATTTACCCAAAGCACCGATTGAGTAAATTAATATTTGCATGCCGTGTATGAATAATGAATTAAGATAAGTTCAATACGAAAAACACAGTTAAATGATGCAGCTATACTACAAACAAGCGGAATAGAACTATTGTGTGTTTTCACTCGCTCTAAAATTGCCCATTGTTCGGTAAAACCTTGTTCGTCAAACCATTCCATTTTTAAATTAGGCATTCTCTGAATTAATTGTTATCTTTAAACATGTAGTCTCATTGATTTTCTGGTATGTTTACAACGGTTGAAAAAACCGCTATCCGGTGGAGAGCGCTATCCAGCTTGTAAACATGCTCGCATCAACATATCAGTTTTGTGTCACCTTTTTTTTATACATAAAGGTCCAGTCCGGTAGTATCTAACATGTGTTGACATGCTTTCTAGGAGAATAAAGAAGAATGCAATTCTGAAGATACTCTTGGTCGAGACAATTCTGCGGCAATTAAAAAACCAATCGTTATTCCAACGGCCAAACTGGACTTGACCTCGTCATCGTCGTTCGACCACTGCAGCAATCACTTGGCGGACGATTGTTGTGGCTGCGAAGAAAATGAATCTCCCAGACAGGATCCTTTATGGTGTGTAGAGCATGAAGCATGTGATAATTCTGTATGTTTCGCGATTATACACTGTATTTTATACAGTATATAGCTTGTCGTTGCTAGGACAAACACGCATGTTATTTGTTCTGATAATGGCGTGAAATGACAGATTCTTTATAAAAATTATACGCTTCAGGAATACTGTTCTCTTGAAAAAAACTATATAAATATAATATTCAGTCAATCCGGTAATTAGCTGTAATGTTTTTTTTTTCATTTCACGGTTTCATGTTTTAATCAATTTTCATGTCTGCATCAGCATATCCCGTTTCCAGTTGGTGACGATTTTACCCGGGCTGGCTTTTAGAGAGAGGCTGAACCTGCATTTTCAAAACCATTTGCCAGCGGTATTTCTAGTTTTCTAGATATCTAGGTTTTCAAGGTTCTCGCTAAATACCTCTTTGCTACCTCAAAAATGAACTCGTATAAGTACTGTACTTTTTTATTTTTATTTTAATCGTCACCTGTTTTCAAGGTTCTCGCTAAATACCTCTTTGCTACCTCAAAAATGAACTCATTGAAGTACTGTAGCTACTTTTTTCTTTTTATTTTAATCGTCACCTGTTTTCAAGGTTCTCGCTAAATACCTTTTTGGTACCTCAAAAATTAACTCATTTAAGTACGGTACTTTTTTCTTTTTATTTTAATTATTTTAGTGATGAGGAAGATTTCTTAGCGGGTGGTTCAGTATCATCCCCCAAGGCAGTGTCGTATACAACTGGAACTCATGACAATAAATCAAGACCCTCATTACGAGATGGCATTTACGATATCAGAATGAAAGTTCGAAGTGTCTCTGAATTTGTCAAGACACCTTCGCCTGATGTGTACGGACACTACCCACCGCTACACCCTGAACCTCTTTATACCAAGAAACCTGGAATACAAAGGTCAGTGAAGAAACTTCTCTATTGCATTTGTAAAAACGTTAACTGCACGACAAAATTCAGGCTGTGGAATAAAACCCTTTATAAACCTGAAATACAATAAAGCACGCGTCATGCGGTAACGCGTGACATTTTTTTGATCCAACAATCAGTTAATCACTTTTCCCTAAAAAAACTGACATTTTCCACTTGCTTGAAGTCTCTTCCTGAAACATTATCTTTATTTTTATTTTCATGAAGTCGATCATCATCATAGTAGCGTAGCGAGCCTGACAATTTAATCCCGCTATGCTAATTAGCGGGATTAAATTGTTAAATTATTTAAATTCTATTGTCATAATTTTAAATTCTATTGTCATTTTAAATATAACCTAGGTTTGCATGCGATTTAATAATTAACTCAGGTCCTTTTTGAAAATCATCTTGTATGAAAAAGTTTCCTGAATAAATATTATTTTATTATTATTATTATTAATATTCTATGTTCATTTTGAGAACAGTGAATTTCTAAAACAATGAATAATTAACGATAACCACTAATTTTCATGGCGCGGTTAAATTGCTACGCTGCTGCATCGTCTCCATTTTCCCGGCAGATTAACTCTTTTAGTGAATGTGGAACTAAACCTAAACTTCGCATGGTTTATCCCCCTAGGTCGATGTTGTTGAAAGATATCGAGCGTGTTCTTCAAGATCAGAAAGTGGTTAATAAAGTGGTGTATGATTTAAATCCTGAGACCGATATTGGTCCTGCAACCGCGTCAAACGGCCGGGAATGTTCTTCAGATATGACACGTGGTTCAACAAGGTAATACAGAAATGGTCGCTCTGAAAATAAGTTCTGATTTTAAATGTTCAAGAGGAATTGCCCATATGCCTTTTCTCTAATGGGTGAATGATATAAATAAAATTTTAAAACCTAAATTTCTATGATATTGATTTTATTAATTTTTTACAATCATGCATAATGAAGTAATAAAACATTAGAATAATTTTGCTACTAAATTCAACAGTATTTCCACACAGCCTGAGAGCGTACAGTAGCATCCGGACAGTGCCTTTTTTATTTACTTCAATCAAATTACTATCATTTAGCTCTATTCGTAGTGACAAAGAACAAAAAGTGAATGGGAAAAGATCCCTTTCCTTTGAATCACGATTTGAAAGTGGAAATCTACGCAAAGCAATTCAGGTTAGAATTTCTTTTAAATTATAAACTTCCAAATTATATCTCTAAGAAATGTAAAAAAGCTCGGAGCAAATCCAACATTCGGAAATTTCGTAATGCGTGCGTGAAAAAGTGTCGCACTATGGCCGTTGATTGAAATTTTTGCATTGAGGCAAAATCAGCAATTTATAAAGGAGAATTTCTTTCGCAAAAAACACATGCACAGCGCTGATCGAAGGCCGTTTCCTGAAGATCATGCATGGACTACAGTAGCTGGGATGGATTGTCTGATTGTATATGCTATTTTATTTGTTATTCGCGTAATGGTTTCATCAATTTTTTCAGGTTTGTGAAAAGGAATACGATCTTATCCTGAATTCTGATGTCAACTGCCGCAGTCATCACCAGTGGTTTTATTTTGAAGTACGTTTATAACTTTCCCTCCCACCTGGACTGTTTTCAATGTAATGATGTAATGCTGCATGTCTTCAATGTAATGACTGTTTTTATAACTGACTTCCAGTTTCTCCAAGAATTCTAAATATTCTAGGTCGGAAACATGGAGGAGAATGTTCCGTACAAGTTCAATATTATCAACTGTGAGAAGGTTAATAGTCAATTCAATTTTGGTAAGTTATACTTTAGATAAAATATCATATTCAGGTTTCGAGATGCTCTTCGCTTTTAAATGAAAATCATGTCTATTTACTTTTTGCCAATTTTGCGAAGGTATAATCAAACCCTTTGTTGCCCTAGCGATGTCTTATGATACAATTATACCATGTAGATGTTTCCACTGTTTAGTCTTATAGCTTTAGTCTTATGCAAAGCCGTAGCTGCATTCACGACGCAAATCACATCTTAAATATCTCTTCATATGCATGTTCTACTCTATATAAAGGTATGCAGCCAGTATTATATTCATACAAGGACGCTGAAGATGGTGACCCTGGCTGGATCAGAACAGGATCAGACATTTGTTACTACAAGAATCATTATAAACGACCATGTTCCAATCCGAAGACAGAACGGGAAAAATATTACTACACGCTCACATTTACGATAGAATTTCCATATTCAGATGACCGCTGCTACCTTGCATATCATTTTCCATATTCATTCTCCTTGCTCGAGGTGAGTCTAATATACAAACATAATTAGGGTATTTTCCCTAAAGTGATCTCACTTAATTTCATGTAAACTATATTAAAGAGAGAATTAGCCATATATAACTATTTCGTCTTTCGTTGAACTTTTTTGCTAGGCATATATTTGAGACTATGTATGTTCCTGCATGCTCTTCAGTAACACTCCTGTTTATTCTACTCAAGTTCTATAGTCCTTTTTAACTCTAAAATTAATGCTACCCCTCCACTCAAAAGTCTTTCATTTTTTCGTCTCGTGAACCATGGTCGTGACAAATTTTTGGTGACTGCATGGCTAAACTTTCACAGTGTCATTTTGTTTATTTTTTTAACCTAAGTATAGCTAACTCTTTGGTGGAAAGTGGATAACACGTGTGACTGTACCTTCCCGAAACTCAATGTTTAAATTTCTCATGAAATCAACTAGTTTAACCGCATGGATGAGCTTCTTATACCATTTTAATTTTTCAATTTCTTAGAACCATTACTGACATACGAATATCGTCTTGATCCTGAAAAAATCCTGTATAATTTGCATACGTTAACGGGAAATCCATGTTATCTAATTACAATAACCTCACCAAACTCTATAACGGTAAGTCATATCTTGGAAGATTTGGAAGCGTCCATTTCCCATTTCATTCACGGCACCTTCTGTGCAGTCTTGTGGTAGAGTTAATGAATCAGGTATTGTAATGCCCTGTTCGTGGTCAACTGACCTAAATCTGTCAAGGTACACTGTATATCGGAGCTCTTTGCAGTATGGTTTGGCCTTTGACGTGTGCTTTTTACGCATGCTGTAGCATCACTACATGCTATATCGCTATATTGGTTCACAATATACTTCCCCTTAGCTTTGCTTCTGGCTGGTATTTAGTATTGATATCTTGTTCACCCACACACACGACTCGTGTTGTACTGTATTTTTAATATGATTTTCATCATGCTGAGCATAATATACCCATACCTTCATCAAAAAATTAGAGTCCGTTCATTTCCCTTTTCAGATAACCGGCCGTATATATTTCTGTGTTCGAGGGTTCATCCAGGAGAAAGCAATGCTAGCTGGGTAATGAAAGGTACAGTAATTATTCTGCAGAACCTCCCCCCCCCTCCCCAGAGATTTTCAAGAGAAGAGAACGCCCTACTTTATCTTGGGGGAACATGACTAGCTGAAAGAATTTTATAGATGATGCCTGAAAAATAGGTGCTCCGCATATGTAGCCAAAAATGATTTATGTCCAGTTTCATATTGCGATCTGTTACGCTCGTTGTTACGCTGATTGTTTGATTAATTTGATACCATGCAATGGTATTCATAAACATTTGTAAACTCAAATAAAGTTCAGATCATTCAATGCACAGTTATTAGAATATAGATGGTTTAGAGACTAGATGGAAGTACAATACAACTCATTATCTATCTTATTGTCCATGTTTGTACAAAAAATGGTTCCTTATCCGTCACATGTCTATTGTATTTTAGCTCAACTAACCATAGCAATAGCTTGGCTTAGCTCCTCAATCGTGACTTGAACAGCATGTTAATTCAGATCTTACTATTGGTTTATTTGTTCAAAATACAATAGACACGTGACGAATAAGGAACAATTTTTTGCATAAATGTTCCCCGACATAGATCATGAGTTCTATTGTACTTCTATGTAGTCTCCAAACCATGCATACTCTATTAACTGTGTTCAATGTAACGTTGCTTTCTTTGTTTTCTTGAGAATTCTTTCGAACGAATGCATAGGTATATAATTCTCAAGTTCAAACGTTCTTCGGAAGAATAGACCGCAATATAGAACTGGAACTCGATTACCCCAGGCCATCCGGGGGGGTCTGAAGTGATTTTGCGCATAAGACGACGGCATGTACCAAGGATTTTCTTTTCGTGAAAAGCTTTGAGAACGAGGTTTAAGAGTGTATCATATGTTTAGCTTTTTATTTGTCAAACGGAGATCTTAAACGGGGCTTGCAACCAGCCGACAGATTTTCTAATGCTTCAAGGGACTGTTTATATAAAACTTGCAACTGCATTTTGCGTAATTAAAACGTAGTTAAATACAAAATGCACAATTCTGATTGGCCAAATCAGCTAGTATACCTTATTATACAACCGTTTTTTTACGCAATGTTTTAATTAATTTATTATTCCTTTTTGTTTCTCTCAAATTTATACCAATGATAGGCAACTCTACTTTCAATATATTACGTTACCTTTTACGATTATGGGATTATAAAATCCATGCAGTACAAATCAAATGCAAGACATGCAGGATTGTAATCAATGTATAATTTCTGTCTATTCATTTTATTATTACATTACATACATTATGTCTAGTTTGCACAAAGTAAACCTTGAGCGTTTCCTCTTCGGATCAACCCGATGTAAAAATTCATCACTGAATTACCGAATCTAAGTCATTCTTTGATATCGTTCTGATTTTGATAAAACGTAGTTATGCTTAATATACTGCTGCAGTTGGCCTCAATCTTGCTTCATGCATTTGTGGAAGTTCCTGCCAGCTATATCTATCAAACCTGAAACATTCCACACATCCTCTCCCCTTCACCCCACCCATGACTATTACAGTATCCTTCACAACCACTGCCGAACATCCTTGCCTCTTATACTTCATGTCTGGTAGAAAATGACTCTCTTGTGATTTGATGTTGTATATCAGGACGGTGCTTAATGCGTTGCCGTTACCATCAGCACCACCCATTATGATGGCGTTTTCTTCACCCCACTTCACTGTGGCCATGTCGCTTACGGGGTAAGGGAGCGGTGACAACTCTTTGCATTCATTCTCCATGATGTCATATAAAAGAACACTTTTGAAACACGTGTTAATCGATAGGGTCTCTCTTCCTCCAACAATCAGGATCTTCTCATCAAATATTGCAACACCATGAAGGCATCGTCTCTGTGGCATGGTACACAACAGTTTACTGGACATGTATGGTGGGGCGAAAGAAATTATGGTGATGCTCTGGGAGGATGCACGTTTATTACCATCATACCCACCAATCACTATCAACCGACCATGGTAAACTACACTTTGGTGTCCGTACAATGACCCGGGTAAATTAACAGGAACAATATCCCAGTTGGTTCTAGATTGGATAACTTCGTCATCATTTAATTGTAAGCTTTCAATGGATTCGTTATGCAAACCACCGATGATGAATAAGTTATCGTTGTGGACAAACGAAGATGCTCCTGCACGACGTTCTCTCATTGGCTGCAAATACGTCCACGTCTTTCTCGCCAAACTGAACATTTCCACCGATTTCGACGTCGACGTCTCACCTCCAGCTACAACAACTTTTGGCACTCTGTCCTCGCCATCAGTTTTGCCACCTTTTATTTCTAGTTGCTTCGTAATTTCGTTTAACATCGTCTTCATTTCAAGAACTTCCGCTTCAAGCTTACGATTACTTTCTTCCTGCTTCTTCAGTCGACCTTGTACAAACCTCTCTATTTCCGAAACATGGTTTTTCTCAACAACTATGTTGGTCATCTCATTTCGTAACATTCTGTCCTTTATCGACGTTATTGCTTTTTTCAGTGTAACCATCTCTTGCTTTGTGTCGTCACATTTGTGGCATTTCACCCTACGCAGTGCACACAACGATGTTTCATGATGGTCTAAATCTTGTTTGTTTGCCAGGAACTTACAACCTTTGTTTGAGCAAACTGCTGGTGCAAACCCACAGTCTGCCACATGTTTTTCAAGTTCCCTCAACGCAATAAATCGCTTACAACCGCGATGGAAGAATTCACAACGAATCTTGAGTTCCGATAATAAGTTTGCCATGTTCCGAGGCACTTTGAGAGTTTCAACAGTGAGTGGTTGCATACATGTGGGGCATGTTCGAGAATTCATGAGATGTCTGGTGATACAACCTCGGCAAAATACATGTTCATTATAGCGACACATGACCGGGTCTTTGATGACATTAGTACAAATGATACAATGCAGTGTTTGGCTGACAGTCTGTTCAAATCGTTGGTCATCATAACCAATATCGTAGGAGGCCAATGCCGCCATTTCAACACAAGTCGACGACGTTCGCGAACCAATGGAATGTGAACCTAAAGGTCAAGAAAACAATCCTTAAATCAATGAAATTTAATAGATTACTTTCGATTCCTATTAGTATTAAACAAAGATCAGTTCGGCATCGTTGTTATGTTCCTTTTATCTCTCGTGGTTAATAAATCGTGGTCTTACCCTTGGTAGTATAATTATCACAAGGAAGTGGTAGCTTGTATTAGGAGCTTTTGGAACTAATATTTAAACGAGTGTCTTTGGACGACTTTTGGCTATAAGAAGTTTGTGTGCTTAAGTTTGGAAAATACTTGAATTCCTGAATATTTAATTTCCCCATCATGCGGGATGTCGCTCTATGACAGGCTTCACGCTGAGATTAAATTTTAATTTGCTAACACACAAATATCATTTAATAATTGATACGGTAGGATACACGGAATGCGGATAGACGAGATCTAGGCAACACAAACGGCATGAGTATCGTCAAAAGACTGGGTCAAGGATTGTGATTGGTGAAAAACAAAAACTTTACTTCCGGCCAAAAAAACTTTTCTTCCGTCCACTCACTTATAACATAAATTGCGAAATCTGCTTCTGAGGACTTTAATGTTTATTTCATAAAAAAATTATTAAGCTATGGACATTGTCTTTTGAATTATTTAGTTAGTGCTAATAATCACAATCCTACTGTATTTTAATACGTGTGCTATTAGAATTTGGATAATATTGGAATATGCAGTTCAATTCTAGAAAATATTCTGACAGTTAACATACAGTCGCAGTAGCCCTCCATCTTGCAACCTGCATTGGGGGAAGTTCTTGCCAACTATAACTGTCGAAGCTAAAGCATTCTATAGACCTTAAATAATTTCCACTGTCATCTTCACCCCCATAACAACCACAATGTCTCCGACAACCACAGCCGCACATCCAGTTCTCTCATACTTCATGTTTGGTAGCATTCGAAATTTCTGGGTGCTGATGTTGTATATTAAAGCTTTGTTCAATGTTTTATTGTCATTATTGACACCACCGATTATGATAACATTGTCATCTTGCCATTTGACTGTGGCCATGTCACTCACAGGATAAGGAAGAGGGGCCAACACGTTATAATCTTTTGTAGTGATATCATACATAACAACATTGGTGAGAGTCGAGTTACTGGAGAAGCTTGTTATTCCGCCAACAATCAAGATCTTGTCACCGATCATTACAGCACCATGAAGGCATATACTCTGTGGCATGGTATACAACAGTTTACATGTGCAGTGTGGAACAAATGAAATCACTGTAATACTATTTGAAAATGCCTTTCTATTGCTATCATACCCACCAATTACTAGCAACCGTCCATGGTAGATTATACTGCGGTGTCCATACAACGAACCAGGTAATTCAGCAGGTACAATTTCCCACTGAAATGATGAGTGATCAACCTGAGCTTCATCCAATGATATCTTTTCCATGGAATTGTTTCCCAATCCACCCAAGACAAATAACTGATTGTCGTAAACAAAAGAAGATGCCCCTTGCCGAGATTTTTTCATTGGCTGTAGCTGTCGCCAGGTTTTATTCGCCAGATTGAACACTTCCACCGAACGTGATGTCGGCTTATCACCTCCAGCAATAACGATATTCTGTTTCCCGTCAACCAAATCAGCTTTTTTGCTTCGTTCTTTCAGTTGCTTCGTGATTTTATTCAAACATTTCTTCATATCCACAACGTCCACTTCAAGCTTACGGTTGCTTTCCTCCTGCTTGTTAACTTGATCTTGAACCAATTTTTTAACTTTCGAAAATACGGTTTTCTGAACGCGGTTGATGTTCATCTCACTTGTTTTCAACTCTTTTTCCATAATTTCCAATTCAAAATGTACACGCGACATCTCTTCTTCTATGGCATTACAACTGTCACATTTAACTCTGCGTGGATTACACGCATACTTTTCATGGTGTTCTAAATCCCGCTTGTTTACCTCGAGATTACAACCAATATTTGAGCAAACTTTTGGTGCAAACCCACAGTCTGCCACATGTTTGTCAAGATCTCCCAACTCAATAAATCGCTTGCAACCGCGATGGAAGAATTCACAACGAATCTTAAGTTCAGATAATAAGTTTGCTATATTCCGAGGCACTTTGAGAGTTTCAACAGTGAGTGGTTGCATACATGTGGGGCATGTCCGAGAATTCATGAGATGTCTGGTGATACAACCTCGGCAAAATACATGTTCATTATAGTGACACATGACCGGGTCTTTGATGATATTAGTACAAATGATACAATGCAGTGTTTGGCTGATAGTCTGTTCAAATCGTTGGGCATCATAACCAATTTCATTGGGGGCGAATTTTGATGCTGCCATTTCAATACCAGTCGCTGATGTTCTTGGATTGCCGCTCACGAGCCAGTAGAATATTCCGCTGTAATGGCAAGAAATTAGTCAAATCAAAAAGCGGCTTTATATTTTTCCCTATGCGATCGCTATTGATCAATAGTTATGCATCATTTATCAACAGTTCTACAGAACCGAATCTTTACCTACGTAAATTACCTCAGTTATAGAGCTACGCGTTTTAAGTCACGTACACAACATATTATTAAACGTGCTTTGGTATGATACATTGTCTTTGACGTCGTTCAGCTGCGTATTTTACGATAACTCTGCGTTCATAAACATTGTCTGTGTTTGAGTTTGAATCATACAAACGCAATTATAACTGCTTAAATTCCTGAATATTAAATTTTTTGACATTGCGGGATTTCACATTTTTAAGGTCCTCTTAAATAACCCGGGTGGCAGATAGCGGACTAACGGATATCGGATAGAAAACCCTTAAACAACACAACTTTAAAACAACTCCTATACATGTGTAAAAAGTATTAAACCTTGATAAATGTGGCCGAATAGTATGATAATTATAGCTTTTAAGACTGTGTTGACCAACGCAATTTTTCTTGCAACTTCAATTTTCATCAACAGTTTGTAACTGCCAGCCATTAGGCCAACACTTGTTGGCTGACAGTGGCGTCGCCAGCTTGATAAGTAGGGGGGACTTATTCATATATTCGTGTTTTACATTATTATTTCTGTGAACATGAATATATGAAAATGTCCACCCCACTTATCGATGCTGGCGACGCCACTGTTGGCTGATTGGAAGGGTGCAATAAACTGTAAACACTTTTACGTTCCGACGTTTAAAGCAAGTGTTGCAAATTATTTAATTTTCTTTTGAATATACCAGTCTTTTTCTTTTTGTTTTGAATATTCAAGTATTTTAATTTCGTTTTGAAAAATTATGCAAGTCTTTTACTTTCGTTTTGAATAATTATGCAAGTCTTTTACATTCGTTTTGAATATGCAAATCATAATGAAGAAGAGACATAATCTTCATTGAAAATATTTCTTTTTAGGTGTGTTGGACTTCCTGTTAAGTAACAAGATCACCGCAAGGGTTTTGAGGGAAATATTTATTTTTAAAATAATACCTATGCTAAACCCAGATGGTGTAATAAATGGTTGGTAAGTGTCTGTAGTACTGTCTGCGAAAACGCTTTAATCAATATAATAGACGCTTTAATCTGACAGTGGTCATTATTGATGCTAGAGAAGTCTATTCTATTAGAACCGTCATATTCTGCGCCGCTATATATTTACAGCTGGTAAATATTTATCGCCATTTTAAGGTTCTCGTCACTGGGTGGTGGCCGTAAATTCATAAAACTGTAAACATAGCGGCCCAAAACATGACGGTTGGGACTTGGGACTATTTTTTTAAGTAAATATAAAATAAATTATGATAAACGTTTATTTCATAGTGTGACTAGTCAAGTGATTTGACTATTCAGTTATATTCTTATTTCAATAAACAAATTTCAGAATAAATGAGCCCGTTTCAATTCAATTAGCTGGTCTATTGGTATTATTATGGTTCTAGTAAGTCATGTTTCATTAATACAAACAAGGTATAAACAGGGAATGTTGTTTTCATCTAGTCATCGTTGTTCAATATCTGGTGCTGATCTCAACAGACAATGGCTGGATCCCGATATTCTCTTTCCAACTATTTACCACGCGAAGGGGCTGCTGCTTTACTTACAGGCTATGAACAAGACACCATTGGTAAGTCACACATTTGCATTAGTGTTGAAAAGGCTGCGGATGGAGTGAGTAATCCATACCCTAGGAATGGTTCATGGTTCGCATCTTGTTACCTAAGCCCACGATCCTCCACCGAGGAAACGAAAACTTTGGGAACGCAATGCTCTGATTGGTTCTTGAAAGGAATGATCTGATTGGTTGTTAACGCCGTATGGAATGTTTTGATACAATGCAGAAAATTGCAAGTAATACTTTTTGGCGACATTTTTATTGTGATTTATAACGGTTAAAAAACTAAACTGAATATCGTTTATTATTTGCCAGAAAAGTATCAAATGTTTGCAAAACATGTGCATTAGCCAGGATTTCGGGCGTCCATTTTGGATTATTCCGGAGCTTTCGTTTCCTCGTTAGAGTTCGTTAGAGTATCGCGTGTTCGTTAAGCGAGACTGCGATGGTTTCCATTTAGTATGATTTTTTCAACCAGGGACGATGCAGCGTCCTTATCAGATACATACATCCAAACGTACTAACATTTTTATCTTATTATTCACCAGGTATTTTGTGATTTTCATGGCCATTCACGCAAGAAAAACGTCTTTATGTACGGATGTCATAGTCCAACCGCCGATCTACCGGTCACAATCGTTAACTCCGGCTCTGAATCAGATTCCTCTAATGTCGGTGAAGCCGCAGTGAGGGAAACAAATCATAGGGTAAGAACACAACTGAAGTAAAATAGATAGAAAGTTATCGCCAACCAAAACAATTAAAGCCAGGTGTTGGATTCTAAACAATTAAATGCTCCTGAACACTGCATTGTATTAGAGAAGGTATCAGAGCTTCAAAACTCAAGGAAACCCTATAGTAATTTTATGTGAATCACATAAGCTACGGGTTTAAAAAAAAGTAAATGTATGTTATGCGATTTTTTGGTAGTATATTACATAATTATTTTCTGATCATTAAATCTCAGCTTTGTAGTGCATTTAATAATATGTGATAGATGGACCTTAACAGTTCTCCTTATTTGATGATCTAGACATTGCCAAGAATTTTACATTCCATCGCACCGGCTTTCTCCTTTCAAAACTGCAGTTTTGTCGTGGAGTCCTCCAAAGAGTCGACTGCAAGAGTTGTGGTCTGGAGAGAGCTGGGGGTAACAAGGAGTTATACCATGGAGAGTACTTATTGTGGAACGGATCAAGGACCATACAAGGTGAAGCTAGTACATTCCAGCCTAGTCTTTGAAAACAAGTTAGCTAAACCCTTAGACCCTTGCAAGGGCCTTCACTATTCAAATATGTAACAGCAATAGCTTTTCGTATTAAAATATCTATTTGTTATAGGGTTTTCATATTGGCACGAAGGAACTTGAAGAAATGGGTCGTTGTTTCTGCGCAGGTCTTCTAAAGCTTGGAAACGGTAGTAGTAACAGCACTACTTGGTACCATTCCTAAATTGAGCATGGATGAACGTGATCCTGAGGACGACATTTTGTAAGTTGAAAACTATTTCTATAATTATCATTATGCTTGTGTAATGTATCTGCTATGTCTAATACAGATTTAAGTCAGCTGTATTGGCCATAAGGTGTTGTAGCTTCGTATTTAAAGAGGCTGTAACATGCCTTCGAACAAATAAATCATTGGGTAGTGTAGTGTCAGGATAATGTAGTGTCAGGCCTGATTTCCATTTTGTCGTAATTGACATGACAATTGACAGTAAGTTTATTTTCACTGATACGAGATTGCCCGGTTGTGGATTTGTCCTTTTTTCCGTATTTCACATCGGTCATTGTTGACTTCACACACATCAGCCATACTACAAATATTACAATACACGTAGAAATATTACATCAGCCATACTACAAATATTACAATGCACGTAGAAATATTACATCAGCCATACTACAAATATTACAATACACGTAGAAATATTACATCAGCCATACTACAAATATTACAATGCACGTAGAAATATTACATCAGCCATACTACAAATATTACAATACACGTAGAAATATTACATTTCCCAATGGCAATGGAAAACAGGCTTTACACTAAAACCCAACCTCTTGGTTTGTCCTTGGTTTGTCCTTACAAACCTTTGCTCTTCCCGTCAGGAGTGTTTTAAACACCAAGTTGCTCAACACGCCACCGTAGCTGTAGGAACTTTAGCTGGTCTTATACACAACAAGACGCCCGGTAGGCGTTATCTCGGGCTATGTAGCCGGTAAATACACTGCACTGAAACTGATCTATATTGATACAGTGTAAATACACGACCGTCCGCGCGGAAGACTAAGCCTGCGACACGAAAAAATAATATTATTATATACCACTTGTCAAAGTTTGGTGTTCGTAGCATTTCATCTGTCGAGAGCGAATCACACGAGGGTGACGAAATTTTGATGTCGCCAGCGCGACCCCCTGCAGAGTGAGATAACGTGTTATCTCATGGGAAATAACAACTTTAATCGTGCGACCTTTAGACTGTTTATCCATTTAAAATTAGGTCTTTTATGAATAGGTACTTCGTTGTTTACCTTGTAGTTTGGTTTTTCTTTGACAAGTGGTATAATAAAAAACTTATTTACTGAGAACTCAGAAAAGATTATGTTTTGTGGACCCTCGACCCTCGATATTTTACTCGGCTTCGCCTCGTGAAATATCGACAGGTCTCGGGTCCACAAAACGTAATGTTTCCTTCGTTCGCAGTAAATAAGTGTTAAATAATTATCGCGAAACCTAGACTCGGCTACCACAGATAGCCCGAGTAGTAACCGCGAAACCTAGACTCGGCTACCACAGTAGCCCGCGGACTTTAATAATTTAACTTTGACAAATACAGAAAGAAAGCCAGAATCTAAAGAAAATTTATTCTTTGGTTATTCTATTGTTTCATTTTCTAGTGCAACGTTTCTTTGAAACTTTGCAATATTGTGATGCATCGATGGGTGGCGAAAATTCAAACGACTTAGTCATACACATAGTGTAAACTTTCCGGGGGCTGAACTTGATATGTGTTTATAGCGATTTTTTGTGCTTGGTAAGAAGATTACACAGCAAAAAATCATTTTCTTATTTCAAGAAGAAAAAAAGCCCATTTTAAAAAATTTTCTGATAATGAGTTCCAATTTTCTTGGGAGAATAACAAGAAAATTTTCTGACTTTTTTTTTTAAGAAATCTTTTTTTAAGAACATTCAGTTCTTAAAATAAGAAAAGTTGCACACAAATAATTTCTCAGTTTAAAAAATTTTTCTTGAAATTAGGAATTTTGTGGTCCTTAAAATCAGGCGAGACATCATCAGATTAATTTCCAAGTAAATAATTTTAAAATTGGTGTGAAGTAAATTCTAAGTTCACACTGAACTTAAAATAAAACTTTGCAATCATGTTAGGAGTTGAGTACATCAAACAAAAACACTGGTAAATAATAATTTAGCCACTCTGTGGAATTTTAAGCTATTCTTTAGCTATCCCCCGGTGCTATACCGGCTTCTTGAGATAACTACTTTAAACTATTATCAAATACACCCTCCTTCAACCCATTCTGCACTGCTTTTCTACCTCCCTATGATAGTTTAAACTCCAATCAATTCACCATGAAAATACATGTAAATAATTCGAACAATATATAGATAGAGGCCTTATCCAATGAAATCAAATGGTATTAAATCAAAAAATTGACCCTAACAAAATATGGATGGATAAATGTATCTGAAGGCAAATAGAGAGCTTTGTGATAATTTTAATGATATAGGCAGACTCTGATGCACAATTTATACCCTTTGGAACTGTCTCAACCCTACTGTGTGGAGAAGCACTGTTACATCAACCCCTCTGGATTTAGTATAAATCTGAAAAATACAACACAACTCTTATCCTACATTTCAAGGAAAGACATTAGAAACATTGCTGTATGCTGCTTCTTAGTTATATATATATATATATATATATATTTATATATATATATATATATATATATATATATATATATATATATATATATATATATATCACAACATTGAACTATTCTATTTTGCTCCTCTGAGGTATTCTAGGCCATAATTGTTGAGGAATTCTAAAGTTTTGTTTAGCTATCCCTGCTATAGCCAACTATTTAACTATATAAAACAGATAATAACACGGAAAATCATGGCCCAAATCATTGCACGATGAAAAAAGACCTAAATACAATTCTTGATCTATAATAGGGTCGAATAAAGGCTAACGAAGGCTAACAAATAAAGGCTTATACGTTATAAATAATAACACACCCGATCAGCATGTTGGCATATGACATCATGAAACATCAACTCACCTTTATGAAATACCACAAATTTTCGCCGACATAGTATATATTTTTTCACATCCTAAATGTCCATATCTTTATCGGTAAATATAAAGTGTTCATAACAAGATACAAATGCCATATTTGCCATGAAAAAACATTATTTCTTTGATATGCGTTAATAGCGTTATACGTTACGCTCATAGAGATTATAAAAAACACAGTTTCGTGGAACTCGACGCGGAACCCTTTGATGTTGCTGTCCCTCAATTCCAAACGCTCACGCCATTTTCCACGCGCCACGAAATTGCAAAAGACGGCATGTTGTAAAACGTGGACTGGGCTGGACTTTTAAACTATGGATTAGACTGAACTTGTAAAACATGGACTTGTAAAACATGGACTTTTGTAAAACATGGACTTTTGTAAAACATGGACTTTTGTAAAACATGGACTTTTGTAAAACATGGACATGTAAAACATGAACTTGTAGAACGTCGTAAAAATTATTCGTCATTCTCACGCGTTGCTTACACCATCAGCCAAAACTCGTAGTCGCCGGGCTTTTGAATACGAGTTTTTTGGCAAATTTGGTACTCAAAAATTTGGCGACTACGAGTTTTGGCTGATGGCGTAAGCAAACAACGCGCGAGAATGACGAATTTCGTACTAAAGCTCCCTATTAATACATAACACCGCGGTTGAAATTGCGACCGCTTCGCATGAGCAACTAAAAAAGTAAAAAGATAATTCAACAAGACGCCGTTCTGGCGTTAACTCCGGCGCACGTGCCAGTCTTCAATATAGAGCTTCTGGACATAAACAATACAGTTCGCGTATTGTTTCGCATACATATTCGCATTTAGATGCCTTACGAACCTAAATGTTCGATCGCGAAATTCAGAAGCACATCGCAGTATAGAAGTTCAATTGTTCAAAAATGTAAATAAACCGCATGATACATTCGCTTCGTCTTACAGTTTGCCTTTGGAATTCGCGCTTATATAGTTGTATTAAATCTTCGATCCTGTGCAAACTACGCGACGTGTCAACGCGCCCATACACGACCACTTCATCTTGTTAAACGGCGAAATAGCAGCGATATTATTAAAATAGGACCGGGTCTACATGTATTAAATATATTCTTATCCCAATTCAATCTAAACTTAATCGAACAGCATGAAAAGAACGGTCTATTTGTTCCTCTTGGAGGAATTGCCGTATCATGCGAGCGTAATCGAATCGCGCATTGGAAAATTAGCCAAAGCTGTGCACCACAAGTCTCTGGAGATAAGACTGGGACGTAGATAAATACGGTCACATACATGTTTTAAATACTAGTATATTTCGCGCCATTACAGACTTGCGACGACGAAAAATAAAAAAAAAAGAAAAACAAAAAAAACAAAACAAAACCGGGGCGAATTTTCAACTCCGTCGCTGACGCCGGAGTAATAATGGCAATATCGCGGCGAGCCTAATTAATAGCCCTGTATAATTTGCCAATAGATCCAACAACCTCATTTTTCTAAGCAAATGAAGAAACGCTTCTTCGACTCTCGAACAAGATAACTCAGTGCTAACTAGATAAAATTTTCAGGGCTGACTAGACACTTTTTCTCAGAGGTGAACCAATAATAATAATAACGATTTTGTGTAGAAGACCACCTTATATAAATGGAATAGATTCCAAGTGAGCTTCTAGCCTTAAAATGACAAACTATTCCGCATGGTATTCTTAATATCAGCATGTTGATAAATATTTGTATTATTTCTTGTTTTTAGGCTCCCTGACGGTGACCTCTTTGCTCCTGTTGATACGTACCCTTATGAAGGACGTGATTACGCCACGCAACTCTTAGTTTGAGGATTTTCAAATTGAATATTATGCCTGCATCGAATAATACTGACTGAGCCTGGGAAAGAATTTGAAAAGTCCGATTCGGCATAACTTTATTTCCAACCAATTTCGCATCCAATTGAAGGGCAACATGCTTCCCACGCAAACGCGGAATGGAGTTATTTTTTAGGATTTTCTCCGTTTCATTTGGGTAAAAATATTTAAAAAACAAGTTACATATTAAATCATATTTAATATTTTATCTGGTGAATGATATTTTTACATATCGAATTCTAACGTCGTTAAACAATACTATTTTTACGACGAGATCAGCTTGACGTCACCATAGCCACATCTTTTGCTTGGAATAAACGAGAATTACATTGATTATGCGGTCTAGACCTTTTAATAGTCATACAAACGTTTCAATTGTGCTAAGAACGTCTGATGTTTAGCTCACATTACCGTACCATTTACCCTGCATTGTTGCTTCCTGACAGCTACCAGGCCTTTTTTAAAAGATAAGTTTGAAAGAAATACCTTTCAGTCCGCCCCCTTGTTCTTTCCTCAAGAAACCATGCAAGAATCAAAAAGACCAAAAAAAATACCAAAACATTCTCTGGGGATGAGCCCCAAGACTAAATATTCCCACGCTATTTCAACTTTTACAACTTCACATTTAGGTCACTCCATCTCCCTACGGCCAACGATATTTCTCCGACTTCGTGGAGACAAATTTGAAGTGGTATGTTTTAAATACATGCTCTCATGGAATCGAATTTTCTCCATGCACTCTCTTACGTACGGTTCAGTGTCTCACATGCGGGGCTAAGGCAAGTTTTCTTAGTCACCTGAATTTTGAAAATGAATTTTTCTTGATCAGATCGTATAACGTAACATCATCGTTTTTTTTCCGTTTCATGAAAACTTACGAAAGCCCCAATCTTTTGTAACTCCGTATCGACGATAAAACTAGGGCATAATGGAGATGACGATTGATCTGTTTGGAATATAATATATAGAATATAATCGAATGTTTTTGCTCAAAAGTCCGAATATTTTCCCCGAAAATAGACGTACACCTTACCAAACCCTCACACCCCCCTCCCATACGTTTATAAGCTTTAATTTTTCCAACTCTAAAGTAATATAATTATAAAATCATAACTGACTTTGAAGACTATAATATTTTCACTGTCTAGGGGTATGCATTTACTGTGGTTTAAACCTTTATTTAATTAGCTATATATACTTACTCTAGGTTTGCGAGGTATGAGGGCAGTTGCCCCCCGAATGTTCTACAAAACTGAGGCATTCGGCCAAAGAGCTCTGCAGATTCCGGTAAAATAAAATAGCGGCTTTTTAATTTAGCAAATGAAACACAGTCCTCATGTCGCAAAATGTTGGCATTTTCTGGGACTTTGCGCAACAAATATCCCCCTATTGTCGATTATTAACTTTCTTGCTCGTATATGCATTAATGAATTTTATCTTCATATCTCGATTCGTACTGTGCATTGTATTATCTCCATGCATGCTGTCCTAATTCAACAACATGCCCCGGTTTCTAAACAAACTTAAGAAGAACAATTCTGCAATTATATAAGCTTATTCTGTACGTAGCTACCTTTCTCAAACACATCAATGTGAAGGACGTTTTCAGCTGTTGAAAAGTTTATCTCATGAAATTATGATCTTCCTATACACACCGGCCTCCGATATAATTATAATCCGATTCTAAAGCACGTGGAAGTCGCAACGTGGCTTGATCAGACTTTTTGACTTAAATGAATTATCCTTGCATGTTTACATATGGCATCGTTTTCACATCCTCGCTTCATTTCTAAACCTTAAAGATTTGTTAGAGCGGTTTGTACACTCGTGCGTCTAGTTTTGAGCACTATGGTTTCAAAAAGCAAGAAGATGAGAATCTCTAGCCTCTCCGACCGAGGATATCGGTATAAAGAAACGGATTCGCCATTGATGGATTTGTACTTTAAGTTTGCCGCTAATAGTTACTGCGCAAGAAGAAATCCTGAAGTAAGGAAAGAGTATATTATGAACTAATGAATTAAAGAAGTAATGACTAACGAATTCGTACTGATACAGACAGCATAGTCATTTATCAGAGCATGTTTTTGGCATGATTACTGCATACATGTCGGAGCATTGAAGCGCATGAATAGCATGTGAACAAATGAATACGCCTGCATGCATGAAAATGCCAGAGAACTTGGATCACGTACGAGGATTTTACGTCGATGTAAAAATACCATAAAATACAACAATTTCTCTCCGTGATATTTTAACACCAGAATATGTGAAATATGGAATCTCTGTCACGATTACATCTAGTTTAGTTGAAAATATAAACTTTATACACCATTGCGCTTTGCACACTGCACAAACACGTAACAACCTTTCTCCGTACATACTGATCTAATCATCTGGCATTTTCAGCCGTATTAATCATTTGTTGACTATTTCAAAAGTCGGTACATAATCCCAGGTCTAACACTAATCTTAGTCATATATCACAAATTTTTTTTCTACCTCAAAATACCTTGAATCAGTTCCCATGCATGTGCTGAAAAAAAATGCAAAATTATCCTTCGCAACAATAGTAAATTCCGCTTGACACTCCCTAATATTTTATCTTCTGAAATCGTAAAAAGCATGTTGTGCGTAATCCTGCCTTGGTAGACTATCTTTAAAAGGGGGAATGGGGGAATAACGGGGAATATCGGGGAATGAAGGAATATCGGGGAATGGGGGAATAACGGGGAATATCGGGGAATGGGGGAATAACGGGGAATGGGGGAATATCGGGGAATGGGGGAATATCGGGGAATAACGGGGAATGGGGGAATAACGGGGAATAACGGGGAATGGGGGAATATCGGGGAATAACGGGGAATGGGGGAATAACGGGGAATAACGGGGAATGGGGGAATAACGGGGAATATCGGGGAATAACGGGGAATATCGGGGAATGGGGGAATATCGGGGAATAACGGGGAATGTCGGGGAATATCGGGGAATATTATATTCACCCAGCAAATTTTTAACAATTAATCATCCCAATGTAAAAGTACCATGGCAGTTGTGTTTAAAAAGAATAATATTAGACTTTTTCGACCGCAGTCCAGTAACACAACATATCAAAGTATGACAACCTACTAATAAATAATGCATTATCTGGTCATAAAATTAGGAAATGGAGGACCTAAATATTTGCAGAAGAATCGGTCATAAAAAGTTTCAAAAGGATAATTTTCGATTGAAACTTTTAAAGTTTCTGCGTTAGACACTATGGTGGAACTTCATTAAATACCAGTACCTAAAAGTTTTTGCATAATTATGACGTTGGAAGAACATAACGTAACATAACATAACATTCGCATTTTTTCATGCATTAACACAACCGAAGTTATCAAACCTAATAATCAATGTCAATAGTCGATACAAATACTTATATTCATTGTCAAAAGATATATAGTTCTTAAGGTTTCACGGTTCAGTTATTAACGTCTAAACCAAACTCATTAGTAAGTCTCTCAATATGCTCTGATCGAAAATAACGGGCGAAATCTTGGGAAATGACAAGGGCGTTGCTGGTGAAGTTTGGGTATCGCATCCTGATACAAGCATATCTGAGGTGGAAATGAACATTTTGCGGCTCTCTTGTAGATTGAAGTTACCCGGTGTTCCGATCACGGTATTGGCGTATGTCTTTATGGACGACGACTAAATTGTCTGCAACAGTTTGTGGAGGGTTCTGGATGTCTCCTCCGCACCCATAACAGCGTGAAACTGTTGTCCCTAAAACCCATTTGAGCCCGAATGACGAGGGGTTTTGCGGACTTGTGGAATGTATTTGAGTTGATGGGTGTTGTTGGGGAACTTGCGGGGATCCGGAAAACGTGGAAGGTGATTGATAAGCTAAATGCTGTGGGGCAGTCTGAGGGAGTCCATATATCATTGGTGGTGGAATTGGTGGGTTAAACTGAGGAGCTCGAGGCCCTCTACTACCAGACACGACGGGAGGTAAATGAAATACTGGACTAGGGCGGTTAGGGATTTGGGATGCTCGATAAACGTCGTGAGGTATTTGAGACGGAGTTTCAACTGCTTCAGTGGTGACTTCTTCAAGCAGGTCCACAACTTGAGTCACAGGAGGCTTTTTCTTATTAGTCCTTTTCCGCGTGCTCGGCTTTCTTCCCGCATTTTTCGGAGCACTACCAAGTGTCATCTCAAGCATGTTTGGTCCTCTTTTTGATCTGCGGTACCACTCTAAAAATTCAGTCAATTTTTCACGCACCTGTGCAACTGCTAAGACGTGTTCACATATTCTTGTTGAGCTATTAACGCAATTCCTATCACATTTCAGACACCCACCCTTTCCAGGGGTGATGACGTGGATGGTATTACTATTTCCAGCGACGATGTATGACCCGTCAGTTGCCCCAGGCTTTGGGATGACGTTGTCGCGTCTCCGTAGAAGTTGGTTAGCTTTTTCGAACATAGCTTGAAGTATAGGCATTGGGACCGTGGTGACACCACTGCCCTGCATGTGCTGTTATTGCAAGTGTATTAGTGCACGAAAGTGACGCTTGGACCGAGCTATCAGCTTCTACCTCTTTGTTCGCCACAACTTTTTTGGCATTCATACCACTTTTGATGTACTTCTCAACTTTCGCCATAAGCTGTTCATGGTTAAGCCTGCTCCATGTCTTGTCATCCACTGTTAAGTGCTGAAATTCTGGCCGAATCTCGTATGGACCTTTTCCGAACACGGCGCGATCTTCGTCTCGATACTGCCTCTGAATGATGTTCTTCATTTCTTGAACGAACTCATGAGGTTTCTTCGCATCAAATTTCAATCCGTGTTTAATGACAAAATTTGCTGATTCGGGATCATTATTTGTGTATTTTCGTGGTGGATTGCCCAGACCAGCTTCTATTCGAATGGACTTCAACATGGACTCTTTACCATCACGCGCCTAGAGAATGAATCGAGTGTTAATAGACATTTCCCCTTTTGCCTTTCAAGCGCGCAATGCGTGACGGTAGTTTATTATCAAGGTGATTTTAGTTGTGATTTCGCCATGTTCATGAGCGATTTAGTTTAAAAAAGATGCAAAAAGAATCGGTAAGGTTTTCTTAAAAACAAAATCGCTTCTAAGCAGAACGGTATCAGAACTATTTATCGATATCTTTCAAAAAAACTTCATTGTGTTAAATTATTCTAAACATATACTATTTCACCTTCTCTTTAAGAAACCACTCGTAGAATGTGTTAGTCGTTTTCAATGTGCCGTAGACTTCTTTTTCTCTGGACTCCCACTCGCCTTGCAATGCTATTAATTTGTTATCGAACTCTTCTTCAGTGTCACAATCAAGCAGACCAGCGTATTTTGTGTCCCCCTCTTGCTTTCCAAATATCTCATTTAGGAATTTCGATTTGATTTCTGATGGCAAACCACGCTCACTCAATTGTCGTTTCACGTTATCTTTGAAGTGTATGAAACACCGTAAAAACAATGCAAAACGGAAGTTGCGCTTCAACCCATCTATCAACGCCCGTTCACCGTCCGTTCCACATGCAAGCAGACCTTCGAGCTCTGGACATTCGGTTATCAGGGAATTGGCAAATCTGGCATAGGTCTTCCAGTCCTTACGCTGATGCATAAGGACTGGCCCAATGAAGACGGGTGATTTCTTTGTCACGTCTTTGTGGAGCTTTAGGTTTCTGTAAGTTGTAACTGTCAGGCTAATATTTTCCTCGAAAATATTGAATGTTGGGTCAACACCGAAAATACAGAATTCGTGCGGATTAGTACAGAAATGCTTGAGGTCTTGAAGTTGACGGTCACTGGCTAAGACGACTAGAAAGTCTGGATGAATTCTGCACTCTCGAATGAACACTGAATCTTTTCCATCCTTTTCTTCTCTTTTTGCAGTCTCTAAAAGCTCCCATATAGTATTTACTTCCTTTCCCCCTTCCTTTGTTGGCTTGTTCCGCTGTTCTCTCTTTGCCGCATGCCTGGCATTGTACACGTCAGTTGGACCTCTCGGAAGTTCGCCAATACTTCGAGCTCTTGTGACATCTCCGACATCGCGATAGACTGAATCCAGGATCTCTTTTGCCGTTTTTTTGCTTGATGGTTGGGTTTGCAGCGCTTTTCTTGTACTAGGCATTACGCGCTTGTACCCTCTATTTTTTTGTGAGTTTCCGTGTGGTATGTCAACATCCACTACATGTTCTTTTCCCTTGAAAAGATATTGCACCAGTGTATACTCAGTGAACTCTATATATATGGAAGGCTCGCTCTAGTACATTGCGTAATCAAAAAGTGAAGCCAAACATGGCGGATCATGAAGGCTGCTTGGGTACCGAACCAGACCTCCACGCACGAGCTGTTAAAATTCAAAATGGCGGCAACGTGTAGGAGTTGAACTCGGTCAGTTTTGTAAACACAACACAAATATACGGCATAAGTTACCTCTCTAGAAAGAATAACATTGCCATGTAAGGTTGTAACAAATTGTATGTATTCAATTTTAAAAACTTCGTAATTTTAAAACTTTGTAACGTCCGAAATGTTAGCTTTTTTATTTTTCGTCATAGTTTTATAATTCGTGTTTTTAATTTCCACGCGCGGTTCGCGCATTTTATGCTTCGTGGAGGACTGGTTCGGTACCCAAGCAGCCTTCATGATCCGCCATGTTTGGCTTCACACTTTGAACTGGAGCGAGCCTTCCATATATATAGAGTTCACTGTGTATACTTCGATGACTCTTCTTTATTTTGATCTTAATTAAAAAGTAAATTTTTCGTCAGCATTGAATTCGAATACATGCACTGCCATATTTATTTTAATCGCAAGTCTGGGGGGAATATTTGCATGCTTGTGAATTCATTTAGGATTAAGCGGATGCTGAACAGTGGATCGTTTTAATATGTAATGATATGAAATGAAATGAGGATTGTAAAATGTTACACCACGGTTATTGAGCCGGAATAATGAAAAGCTGTTTTGGATTTATCGAGTTTCACATATTAGAACGATCTATTACGAACACTGCCGTAAATATGCAGTATTCGTCAATTACGCTTTGAATCTGTAAGTGTTGTTTAAATACTGATGCGCATGCGCTCTTTATAAGGTGAGAAGCTAGGACTACAGTGTACTTCTTAGATTTCGAATATACTCGTAGTAATGTACCTTCTAGAGTTGAAATTATCTTTCTCAAATCCGCACTCGACTTATTCACGTAATACACCCGCTTCAGTGTAACCAATTGTGCTTGTCCTTGGGTAAGTTCATCGCTCGTTGAAATTACGGACGTTATTTGGCTGATTTTTCCAGAATTTTTGCGCAATACCCTAAATGATTTCTTGGGGGAGCCCGTATGAAGCCATACACCCATGTCGTCACACTTGATGTCTTCTTTCATTTTTATCTTGCTGTTATCGATCAAGAAAGTTACATTATGCGCTATGTTGATTGGCGTTGAGACACAGAGGGTGCTACTTTCGTGCTCATTCAACAAGATGTTCACCAAACATTCGGCACTAAAAGCGTTCTTCTTCCAGGAGAATACTGGGGTAAGGGCATCGTCATGGTAAAGAGTTGACTCTGGAAGGCCATCGATCATTTCAAATTCATCATCTGAACCAAATGCGCTATTTAAAATAAGAATATTTACAAAAATATAGTAAATGGACTTTATACCCTTTAAAATAAGTATTTTTGTATTTTTGTACTTATTAAGTACCAGTTGTAACAAGCGCCACGAAAACGAAAATATTTCTGGACTGCCTATGGTTGTAACTATCATGCATGTACTGTAGGTATACCATGGACTAGTACTGGCTGTACAGTATAATTTATAACCTGCTTAATAGATACCTTGCTCGTTCCTCGTCTACATAACTTTTCTCTTCTGATGATTCCACCGACGTATCCAATTCTGTGTCTGAAAGTGAAACGCAGTGTCATCATGTTCCAAAGAGTCCCTAATTGGGGCCGGATGCATGTGCATGTATAGTATTGTTATTATAACGTCGGCTTCTTAATCTTTCGTTCGTCCTAGGATTCGGCATTAATTTAAATTGATTTCAAATTCAACTACACAGCTAGGTACACTGTATTCGGCAGTGTCTGGAATCATACTTTGTTGTGTACAACAGTCGGTCCCTGATCGTTCCCCAATCAAAAGTCGGTTCCAGATTCGTTGAAACTCCCCTTAACATTTATTAAATGTGCGCCCCTGCACATAACGTAAAGATATGCTGTATATAATATATAGCCATGAATATTTTTAATTATTATACTTACTTTGCATGTCTTCCTGACTGTCTTCAATAAGGTGGGCTACAGGTGTAGATACTTCCTCCATATCTATGATTTTAAATGATAAATTAATTTTTTCAACTAAACGAAATCGCGACGGATCCGCTGCGACGGACATTTGTCCTGTTCTAATTAAATCATTTTTTTACTTTCACTTTTAAAATTACCGTGCACATCCTCCTGATTGTCTTCAATAACGTAAGCAGGTGTAGTAACTTCTCTAGTACCTATGTGTTTATATGTTAAGATAAATCAATATTCAAATTACCATAGAACACTAAACTAAATATAATAATAACTACAAACTTTCACTGGTTGCATATAATGAAGGTACAACTGAAATCTCAATCTTGACAATAGTTACAGCTATCAATAAAAGGATTAAAAGCTAACATACCCTCTCGAGTTTCTTGCTGAGGCATTAGCCATGCAAAACTTTGTGGCTCTTTTCCATTTAAACCGCCATTTTGTAGGCGGTTTAAAATCCATTGCACCAAGACCATACCGGAGCGTTGCGTAAGATCTTTAGTTGTGACGACAATACCATTGCCATCGCCTCCAAGGTCTTCGCCAATGGGATGTGTATCGAGTACGAAATACGAATTATTGTGCATGCCTGCCAAGAAAGTGTAGGGACTACAAGTGTAAAGGCCAACTCGATTTTTCGCTTCTCGTTGAGGATTGGTTAGAGCAGTAATAAGCTCTTTCCTCCCTGCTTCTGAGAACACTCCGTTGGCCGAGACGCATTCCTCTATTAAATCGTAGTTTGCTGATAGCAAATTATTGGCTTCTAAAATAGATTTGGCTTCTGAAGGCTCATACATTTTGTTTAGATCTCTCACATGGTTAATTTTTGACGGGACACGGTTAATAGCTTCTTCTGCGTAGTCCACCAAATGTTCAAGAGAGAAATCGTGATTTTTCATAACTGCTTTTAAAAAAGCATCTCCTATTGCAACCGCTAAAAAGGCACAAGCGTTTGTTGCACCATTCTCGGGAATTTGCTTCTTATCATCTTTTATGAGTCTTTCTTCCCTCGTAATTTCACGAACAAATTCTAAATCAAATGCTTCCAGTGCAGTGTTTTGGCTCAGCCGAAGCTTTTTAAAAACGAGTGATGATTCGATACTGCCATTCTTTATCATATGTAAAATATCGGTTGCAGCTGGTCGTGAATTTGGCTCGAAACTTGCACACAAATTGAAAATTTCGTCAACTTGCCACCACTCGGTCACCCGCAAGACTTCGTATTTCGCATCATGAGTAGGAAGAATCTGTGATTGCATGAAGTGTTTCATGATGTCCAAATTAAACGCAGCACCCAAGCTTTCCGACTCCTTGTGATATGGACTATTCAGGTTAGGATTGATTATAGCGTACGCTAAAATTCCCAAGGACCAGATATCTGCCTTTTTCAAGTCGTCCTGGCTTGCACTCGTTAAACGACAAGTATGGATTTCAGGGGCCATATAAATCAGCGTGCCACGACATATATCATCCGTCCTTGAACACAGGACAGATTGCGTTTGAGCGTCCAACGACCTGCTTAGTCCAAAGTCTGCGACTTTGGCGACAATCGGACACTTTGCGTACATTTCAGCAACAATTGATTGTTCTTTACTGCAGTAATGTTGATTGGAAACTAGAACGTTGCTTGGCGTCAAATCCCTGTGGGCTATATTGTGCTGGTGCAAATACTCCAAGCCAGCCACGGTGTCTTTTATGCACACTGGTAGGATATCTGCAAATGCTTCAAAATCAAATTCGCAGTCGACGTAGTGGTAAAAATCTTCTAAATTACAGACCACTTTTTCGGTATCAAATGGACTAAAGTCGAACCCCACATACTCCATCATTAAACCATGCGGGTTGTCGGAATATCCCAAGAAAGTTGGTATATTCTCATGCACTTTAACCCCGTTCAGCATTTCAGCCTCTTTCTAAAAACGTCGTTTACTCTCCATTGATTCTCCCTTTAATTTCTCAACCACAACTTTACGCTCATCAACTCCATAGCTCGCTGAAAACACTGTTCCAAAACTGCCACGACCTAACTCTTTTTGATTTTTGAGCAAACTCCAGTCAAAAGCTGGTAGACCATGACTTTTTTTTGTCGCTTCACAAGACTTGGAATTTTAAAGCTTCCAAATAAAGCAGACATTTCTAAAGCATATACTTAAAAGTGTAATTTCGCAAGCCTCACCTAGTGCTCAGTGTTGTACGCTGATTACTTCTATAATCCGTCGCAGGGCCTTCTTTATTTATGCCCTGTTTTGAGATCTAGTCTGACGGATTTTCGTCTAATTACCGAAGTGATATCAAGACGACTTACCGGTCTCCCGTCTGCGTCGAGTTTTTCGTCTCAGACGGAAATCCGTCTACTAGTACTAAAATAAATTCTGCTGATATGTGGATATATGAAAACCAGGCTTTTCCGCGCCATTAACGAAAGGACCGATGTTGTAAGTGGGAATTTGAATTCCCATTGCGTCGAGTTTTTCGTCTCAGACGGAAATCCGTCTACTAGTACTAAAACTAGGTAGGATTGCTGCGGGCATTAAAAACAAATATCATATAAGAACACGATTGGCAAAACTGTACCATTGTTAAAAAAATATTACAAAAGCGTTGAAATTTGTGAAATATGTGTCACCCGATCACATCGCAACTAATTTAACACAAAGGGCGTGTTAAGGTTAAATTTTTCTTGCAACTTGGAATTCTGCTTGTAATCAGTAAAGTCAATGAAGATATGCCATATGGATTGGAAAAATATCAACGCAAAACACGTACTTTGGCATTTTACATTTCTCAAGAGTGGAGTTGTATTGCAAGTTGCAAAAAAATTGCATCGTGTAACAGGGCCTGAACTAAACTCTAAAGTTAACAAAATAAGAATGTAAGTGTCCAAGCACATAATTGTATCTGAAATAACGTGGCAACTAATTTACAAAACTAAATGTGGATATATGAAAACCAGGCTTTTCCGCGCCATTAACGAAAGGACCGATGTTGTAAGTGGGAATTTGAATTCCCACTGCATCGAGTTTTTCGTCTCAGAGGGAAATCCGTCTACTAGTACTAAAATGAATTCTGCTGATATGTGGATATATGAACACCAGGCTTTTCCGTGCCATTAACGAAAAGGACCGAAGTTGTAAGCGGGAATTTGAATTCCCGTCTGCGTCGAATTTTTCCCGATATTTAGGTCCTGGGTGGATATGATATTTCCCGTTATTCCCCGATATTCCCCGTTATTCCCCGATATTCCCCGATATTCCCCGATATTCCCCGATACTCCCCCATTCCCCGATATTCCCCGATATTCCCCGATATTCCCCGTTATTCCCCGATATTCCCCCATTCCCCGATATTCCCCGTTATTCCCCCATTCCCCGTTATTCCCCGTTATTCCCCGTTATTCCCCCATTCCCCGACATTCCCCGTTACTCCCCCATTCCCCGTTATTCCCCATTATTCCCCGTTATTCCCCGTTATTCCCCCTTATTCCCCCATTCCCCGATATTCCCCGTTCCCCTATTCCCCGTTCCCCCATTCCCCGTTCCCCCTTTTAAAGATAGCCGCCTTGGTATTCCGTGATATGTTAGAGCTCCTGAATAATTTTTTGATGCACTTCAAAATGCTTGGAATCGTCTCTCGTATACAGAAAAAAGTCAAAGATTCTTTTCGCAGCAATAGAAAATTCCGCTTGTAATAGTTCCGGTAAAGAAATTGTGTGTGAAAATATCTGGAACCAGTTTCAATTGTTGTGAAATAGTCTTTCCACAACGGTAGTAATTTTCGCTTGACATTGTCTAGTATCTTATCTTCACAAATCGTAAAAATACATCGTGGCGTCAAAATAAATCATACCTTACTTCAAGCTTGATTTCCGCTTGAAAGTTTCTGTCAGTAACGATAGAAAATTCTGATATGTGGATATATGAACACCAGGCTTTTCCGTGCCATTAACGAAAAGGACCGAAGTTGTAAGCGGGAATTTGAATTCCCGTCTGCGTCGAATTTTTCCCGATATTTAGGTCCTGGGTGGATATGATATTCCCCGTTATTCCCCGATATTCCCCGTTATTCCCCGATATTCCCCGATATTCCCCGATATTCTCCGTTATTCCCCGATATTCCCCGATACTCCCCCATTCCCCGATATTCCCCGATATTCCCCGTTATTCCCCGACATTCCCCCATTCCCCGATATTCCCCGTTATTCCCCCATTCCCCGTTATTCCCCGTTATTCCCCCATTCCCCGATATTCCCCGTTATTCCCCGTTATTCCCCCATTCCCCGATATTCCCCGATATTCCCCGTTCCCCTATTCCCCGTTCCCCCGTTCCCCCTTTTAAAGATAGCCGCCTTGGTATTCCGCGACATGTCAGAGTTCCGGTACAATTTTTTGATGCACTTCAAAATGCTTGGAATCGTCTCTCGTATACAGAAAAAAGTCAAAGATTCTTTTCGCAGCAATAGAAAATTCCGCTTGTAATAGTTCCGGTAAAGAAATTGTGTGTGAAAATATCTGGAACCAGTTTCAATTGTTGTGAAATAGTCTTTCCGCAACGGTAGTAATTTTCGCTTGACATTGTCTAGTATCTTATCTTCACAAATCGTAAAAATACATCGTGGCGTCAAAATAAATCATACCTTACTTCAAGCTTGATTTCCGCTTGAAAGTTTCTGTCAGTAACGATAGAAAATTCAAAATATTATATCCGCATAATTATCCTGCATTTTCTTTCTAAAACAATTATTGTTGTTATTAAAGAAATCGTGAAGATATATTGATTAGTGTCATTTTACTTTTCCAGTGGGTAATGAAAATTCTACTTGTCCACTGGCTCCATTGTATGAATGGTATACGACATGTCCATTTAATCGACATTTTTTGCATAGTAAGACGTTAATACAGTATGATGTAATCTACCCCACGCTGGTGAGAGGCTATATAGGGCTTGCTGATTACAATGCAATAGGAAAAATGCCCACGGGCACTTAATATGCCCGATGGATAAGTGCATGGAAAATGTCCAGTAGACATTTCCTTGTCCAATGGATCCGTTGGACAAGGGAAATGTCCAATGGGCATTTTTTATGTACAATTTAATATTTGGTATTGGACGTGTATGAGATGTAAACATCCAAAGTTCAGAGGGGCTGTATTCTGTCATTTAGTGTCGTTTAAGCACAATTTTACACATGAATCAAATTTTGTTAAATAGTTATTTCATGGCTCAAGTTTGTAGGTTGCATTTCTGAATAATTTGCTGTGAATCAGACAGTTGTTCGACAAACAATTACATAATCTTCATGCATATCTGCGTGAAAACCGCCATCTTGAATTTTTATGAAAAGTGCTATCTTCGAACTAAAATATGATAAGCAGACTAACTATAGTAACCTATCGCATCAAATTAATACGATTATATACGTGATAGATGACATAAATGAGATATACTTATTAAATTAAGAATTAGCAAGCAATATTGGCATTAAACCGATTTTAGCAGCGCTTATCGAAACACTTAGCGCAGGTTTTGTGCGCAGGGTGTACATTACATGCGTACACTAGACAAATGAGTTATATACCGATTACAACAGATTCTTAATCATGCATTAAAAAAGCGCAAATTATTAGTCCTGTTGTGTGAAACATTTAGCGCACAATTGCTAGCTGAAACAACGTATTATCTATGACATCTATGTACTTACTTGGTAGATAGAGCTTTGATCGAGGTAGAATTAAGATATAAATTTTTGTCTCACAATGTGAATAGAACTGTAGCACAAACAGGCTTTGCTTTCTTACAAGCCTCCACATTCGAGACTCTACATAGAATGAATAACCTAAGCCAGGTATAGGCTATTTTTTTGTGGAATGAACGAGATTTTCAAAAAATATAAAAACTGTGATGTGTTTTTGTGACGGACACAGCGTGGCTAGGCAATTAAGCCAACCGCATTAAGAGCATTTGATGTAAATCTTCGCCCTGAAACGGAAAATAACAACTTGTTTTTGCCCGAAGGTCTTTACGAAAATTAATAATATCTTGAACGACCTTCCGTTTCGAAACCAACAGCGACTAGGCTGCCATCCCACCGCGATTTCAAAAGCCTGGTTTCCAGTCGTAGGTGTCCGGAACATGTCAAGGTGGCTTGGTGTGATAGAATATTTCTGTTTGTTCGCAGACAACAATGACATATTTGAATACAGAAATTGTTACAAACTTACATCCGGAACATTTCTCATTGGGGAAAATGACTAATTCGCGATAATTACGATTAAACGGAAACCAGGCTAAAGAAGTACGATGGTAATTACTAGCTGCATGAATAAGGAACGCTTTGTGGCTTTGGCTTTAGGCTTTGATAGATTAATACTAGAGTGATAATAGAGTAAGTGTATGAATGAGTGGGACTTGTCGGAAAGATGTTACCGCTAATTAATTATGGATTTTCCTTTACTGGATTGTATGGAAGCATATTTTAAAAGCCCATGCATATGACAAAGAAGATAGATTTTCTGTTGTTATATGTCATAAATTATAAATATGGTATATGCCCACTGTACATTAGCTAATATTGCAACCAGAGTAGAGTAATATAAAATTGCGTAATGTTGCAATGTTCGACACCACTGTGAACTGTGATTTGATCAATAGCAATATCAGTCGTTCATGATTCGCTGTAGGAAGCAATTGGCAAGTGGCGATGCAAAGGTTTAAACGGTGAGAGTTACAGTGAACACACAGAGCCTTCTTGTTGGTCTCTTGTATTTTAGCTGCTACTCCTGATAATCGCCTTGCCATGTTTCCAGCTCCATCATAATCCTGACCACGACAATCATCAATTGGCGAATTTTGGTCACGAAGGGATTCTTCAATTGTAGTCTTGCCAGCACACATTGCACCATACTTAAGGATTTCAATCAAAATTACCACATTTAACCTCATCTGACAGATAGTTCGAAGAGTCATCTCTATTTCCACGCAAGGGAATATTTTGCCTGCCACAAAGAACGATTGCTCCGATAGAGGGTCTAAGAAGTTTTCTGTTTTCATCCAACGTAACATCATATGCGTGCAGACCTTTGCTCCATATGAGATCTT